AACCTTTCAGTGCCTGCTCTGACATCTGCATTCATATCATCCATCAGGATGCAGGATTCCGTAATCGGCATTTCGTACAAAGGTCGTTTTGGACAAGGTCAACGTTTTGGCCTGTTACAGCTTCAGTCGGAGCGTTGCCACTCCTTTGCCGACAGATTTCCATTCACTGATTCTGTCAGCCAGGTTGGGTTCTAAAAACATCGACATCGGCCTGAGCTTATGTCGCGATGTCCATATTTTAGTAGAATGGCTTCCACCTGCACACGGTCATAGTTCCAGAGTCTGGCACTTCATTGATGAGAGTGAAATTGTATATAGTCGCTCCCATAGGACCTCGTTGACTATCTCATACTCTTTCTGTCCGGGTGAACATATATTCCAATTTCTGACTGTAAGCTCCCACTGTCGGTATCATTCCCATGCTGTCACTGCGTTATCTACTTCATCCGTTCAAAATGGGTAGCAGCTTCGTTGCTGATTGGAATTTTCGTCATCGTTTTGAGGATTTTCGACAGGTGTTGTCGTGCGGTTATACTCTTGACTGCTGATGGGCAAATTCTGATCGTCAACTTTTCGCAATCAACCCCCTGGCCCCCCTAACAGCCAGTGTGCGTTTGGTGACCAGTACAACGACCGGGCCGGGGTAGCATTTGATAAAGAAAATACCACTAAGTTTTCTGAGACTTCGCCGCGACCGCCAAACCTTGTCCGAGCTTGGGAGCGGCAAAAGGCGAGATAGTCAGTCATGTGGTCGGGGTTTTCTGGAATTTTATGGCTGAACTTTGATGGGCTGAAATTTAATACAGAAAGTTTAACCGAAATAGTGTCACTACTTGTTTTAATGCGGTATCACAAAAGAAATATTGGTATGAGATGATAATTCCAAAACGTTTCCGTATACGTATTAAATTTTAATGGAATGATTTATCCTGCAAATCAATATATAGTATACCTAAATTTGATCCAGGGATTAGATCGAAAAACGTAAGCAGTTTCTGTGGATTTGTGATTCGCCGTTTTACTCCTTATGACTTCTTAATATGACCCTTTAACGCTCTAAAATTAAACTTTCGTTATAAAATTTTTGTTCTTAACTATTCACCGCACATTTGTGTTCGTGAATCGAGCTTCTTTTCAAACGCTTCGTTTCACAGTTAGCCCACTACCTGCTTCAATATTTTCTTATTGTAATCTTCCTGGTGCTAACTTTACTTAATTTATCTGCGTTGCGTATTCAGGTAGGGATGTGTGTTGTTTTAGATATTGTGTGTTGTTTCGGATTTTAAAGTGACAAAGTTCGCCGTAACAGCGTTCTTAGTAACTAGCTACGGAACGATAATGGTGATATTTTTGTTTCTTCAGCATTTACTGATCCGAAATTCCATACTGATTCTAAATTTGTAAATGATCTGCCGTGAAACTTCCTGATTGAAAGATCCTTATCGCTTATTAACTTGATCCACCTGTCTGTCTATCTGTCTGTCCTAAGATATTTATTAATGGTGTTTGTTGTTTTGTCTTGGTCATCTGATGCTAACAAAGCTTAAATTGCAGAGCAGAGCAACCTCTATTACGTTCGACCTTAGAAATGTTATTTCACTTAGATATTTTGCAACATTAAGTGCTGCGGAAAAGTTCATATTCCTCACCGGAAGCAAGTCTCTGTCAAGAAGGGGTTTCCACGTTTTGTATATTTCTTCAGTGAGTCTGTCGCCAGTGCATGACTTCCAGGCGAAAACGGTTCTGAAAATCCTTTTTATTGTTAAATGGAAAATTATTATGCTCGAATGTATATTCTTTCGACAGGGAATTACCGAATAGACCCTTGAGTAGCTTTCATACAGCAATGCTCTTTCCGGAATGGAAGTGTATCGAACATCTATATCCCGAACTTCAGTGTGCGTTTTGTCCTACATAATTTAAAGACACCACATAAACTTGCTCAATGTGACAGTCTTCTGATATAGATTTTGTTTTTTACTGAAAATGGAATTCCTTGGCAATCCCATTTAAGCAATTGTGTTTTGTTCATTCGTTAACAATATGTTTACTGCTGCGTGACATAACACCTAATAAAACTGCAGCTATGCAATTTTCATCGTATCTTTTCAATTGTAAAGAAATTTTAAAAATTTTGCATTTGGATCACTACCATTACGGTCAACCTCAAGACTATAAAATGTTACTCGAGCAGTGATTCTCAGAATGTGTGTATAATTCTGTGCAGAACGGGGGGGCGTTGTACTTAAATATACTGTGGGTCATCGAGATTACTTTATTCGCGAATTTCCAGACGTGAAACGACCGTATTGAATTTCACAAGCTAAAATATTCTTGGAGGCAGCAAACACATTTGATATTTGTCTCCTCAACTCCGAAGGGATTTGAAGGGATCGAAATTGCTTATTAAGCATCGCCAAATTTTTTATAAAAATGGACCTGAAAAATAGAGCACGGTTGTTTTAACCCGCAGCGTTTTCAATGCCGCTGCAAGAATATGTTTCTTCGCAATTCTTCGGTTTCGCATGGCTTAGTCAATCCGTTTTTTGTTTTTTGTAGCTTAGCGGGCAAGGCTACATGCTAGTTTACCTGCTGCAGCGCATGAGCACAAAGCAGCATTACTCGGTATTGGGTCGGACAAACACGGATATACCTCAGTGCATAGGCATATATGATTGGATTGAATCTGGACTTCACTGTTTTTGTGGAATGAGTAGCGACAATCATGTCTGCTTCCCTGAGCATGCGATAGTAGACCGTTTGATCCAATGAACTTAAAGATATGGGAAATCCACTCGAATGCGAAAAAAGAAAGAACGTGTGACAATTGAATCCTCTATAATAAGACTGAATTTTTTCAGTACCAAAGTTGTGTCATGAGAAGCGGGATTAACTGTATGTCCGTGTACATCAAATTATTATCTGCTCACGCAAAACCATCAGTAAGTGTCCGTATGCAGTGATTCATCTTCACAGCGGGCATACAAGACCTCTAAATTTCGTTTTCTTAGGTTTATCTACTATTGCTGGTCTTGTTTGTTGTACTGTTTTCAAGATAAAGTTTATGATCGTGGAGTGTTAAGCTGATTTTGCTAAATTATGCTAATTTTTAGTCGTATTCAATTTGTTACAATGAACGTGAACAGTGTTTGCATTGCCATAATGACTGCGTTTTGGGGCGTTGTCGGAATAGGGCTTCCTTGGTTGGTTCCAAGAAGTCCTAACAGAGGTACCAAGCTAATGTTTTTTATGAGCTACTTTTAATCCATTTTTATCTTATAGGTACAATTCAGATAATGCTGTCGACTACTGCCATGTGCTGTTACCTTTTTTGGATGATGGCTTTCTTGCATCAGATGAACCCACTATTCGGTCCAGTTCTGAAAATAGACACCCTCCGCTATATGAGTGCAGGCGATACCTGGCGAACACTTTAACTGTGTTTGTTTACGTCTCTTTCAGTTTTTTTATTTTCCTTGTTTGTTCCTGTGTGATTTCGTACATCAGTGCTATCTGTATTTGTTATTCGCAAAAGCCGTTGCAACGTTCTTTTGTTCATTGATTGAATTTGATTCTCATTTTTGTATGAGATAACTCAACTTTTTCTATGATGTTAAGCTAAGTCTCAGACTCTACTAGTTTTTCAGCATTTTATAAAAAATTACCTGTTCCTTTTTATTTCGATTGTTTGGAAATTATCATAATTATGTGGAATTGACAGTTTAAGATTCCTCCTTCTAAATGTTTTTTAGTTGTACATAAACAATATTCCATTGAAAAAGGCTGGTTATTTTATGTATTTTGGTTTTTGTAGCAAGTATATGGAACGACTCTGCTCGAAGCTGAGGTTTTCTTCTGCTGAACCTGATACATTGGTGCTGAAATGAGGATTTTTGAAACACTGTCTGATGGCTGTGCTTCTGTGACCAGAAAGGTATTGGCGGTCGTCATAACCGGCTGTAGCAGGCATTACGACTCTTTGTAAAATAGAACAGTATGCGTTTATGATATAATTTATTAGATATCAGGTTAATTGAAGCACTCTGCTTAACTGACGCTCATTCTGTTTGGCCGAAGAAGTTTGTAAAGTGATGTAGGTCATTGCAGCATTAGAATCGCTTTGTCCTTCGTCGTTATGGGGTGACGAAAGTACATGCGCAATAAATTTGCGGCCATGTCAACATTAGCCTTGCACATTGTAACATTATTCTGATTTAATGGTAATACAGATGTAAGGAAATAATTTCGGTCGTAGTTGTGTTTATGGGGCCTTGTTGTTCATCAGTGTTTATTTGTGATTAGTGTTATCCTTAACAGTATGCAAAAATGGCAAATCCCATTTTACCGTATTGTTAACGCTATCCTCTGCAGCTCTAACAGTATGCACAGAGGTTCAGCCTATACTCTAGTCATTCTCAACCTGTGTGTCACGATGCGGTAGTGTGTCGCGAAGGATTTGCAGGTGTCGCGAGATTTTTGGAAATTTAAAATTTCCTAGTGTTTATAAACTTGAAATAATTTCAGAAAATTTTGATTGCGTAATTCAATTGTGATGATGAATCAAATGGTTGAGATATTTGTTACTTTAGTTCTTTAGCTAAACTTTTAACGTATTTTTGAATTAAGTTTCTGAATCTAGCGGGAAAGTCAACTTTGTGTAGATTTAGGCTGATTTTGTGCTTTTCTTACTTTTGGTTGAAGTAAGGTAATAATTATCAGTTTAGTTTTCAGTCTTCATAGTTATAAACGTCTCTTTATTTAGCCGTGGATAATTTTTTATCAAAATCGGTAACTCCAAAATAAAATGTATTGAACCGAAGAAAAAGAACCAAGCGAAAATTCATGAAGTACATCGAATTTGGTTTTGTAGTATTAGGAAATAAAGATGCTCAAGTTTCTTTTTGTTTGCTTTGAAGCTCAAAGTTTTCGAACGAATCATTAGTTCCAAACAAATTGAAATGACATTTGCAGACAAAACATCCAGCGCAGAAGATCAACCTTAGAAAATACTTTAAGAACTTCGAAATTGAGAAAAATAGACAATCAAAAAACCTCTCTAACTTCGTGAAACTTCCGGAAAAAGATGCAGGTTACAGGGTTGAGCTAATTGCAAAGCGTAAGAAAGCTTACACCGGACCCGAATCAGTCTATCTATCAGCCAGCATTAGCTGTTACTGTCGAAATCACGCTTGGAAACAATTGGACGATAATGAAAACAGTTCCTCTCTCAAATGACACAATTTCGAAAAGAATTCAGGACTTGTCTGATTTGCGAGATCAAATTTGTAAATACTTCAAGGAACCCTCGTACGAGTTTTGATCACTTCAAATCGACGAATCAACTGACATCAGCAGAAAAGTTAAGCTTTTTGCACTTATTTGTTTCATTAAAGACGGAAAATTTATGAACGAACGATTGTTCTGCAAAGATTTGCAGGACATTATAAAAGGTGACGTCATTTTCTATTTAGTGAACAAGAACGTTTGGTTTTTCAATTTGAAGTGGATAAACTGCGTTAACGTTTGCACTGACGGATGTCCTCCAATGATGGGAAAGAAAAAAGGTTTCGTCGCACTTGTGTAACAACAAAACCCCAACATAATAACCGTCCATTGCATGATATAGGGAGGCTCTCGCATTCAAATCATTTCCGTAAGATTTGCAGTCTGTCATGACACAGCTTATCCAAATAGTGAATTTTATCAAGTCTCGACTATTTCAATCTCGAATCTTTGCTCAATTTTGTGACGCAATGGAATCCAACTACAAATGCTTGCTGTATCACATCGAAGTTCATTGGTTATCAAAAGGAAAAGTGCTGAAGGGACTTGTACACCTAAAAGTAGAAGTGATTTCTTTCCTTGAAACTGAAGAACGTGATTTTTGTTTTCAGCTGCATGATAAGATCTGGTTGTTGAAGGTTCAATTTCTTTCCGATTTGTTCGAAAAATTAAATTCACTGAATTCATGTCTCCAAGGACCTTCCGAAAATACCATCACATCAACGATGAAAAATTGTCTTTGCGTCAGAATAAAATCTCGAAAGAAATAGTTTCCAACTGTCAGCGAATCTCAATTGAAGAAAGAAATCGTCGATGAAATTTCAAATACTCTCAGTGCTCTAGAATCGTCAATTCAATATTACTCTCAATCACTGTCCATCAGCGAGTATGAATGGGTGATCAATCCTTTCGCAGTTAGTGAAACAGCCAACTCGATGACCGTGGAGGAAGAACAGCTGATTGATTTGAGAAGTAACAGGCTCTATCACTCCAAATTTACTGACACGAACTTGGAAGTTTTGGCTTTTAGTTGAGAAATCCTTTCATTTGATTAGTCTGTAAGCAGTCAAAATTTTATTACCATTTGCCACTTCGTGGACCTGTGAATTTAGAATTTTTGCTTTGACTGTAATTAGAACTGAAATGAGAGAGAGAGACTTCTGAGAACTGATGCCGAAATGTGAACTTTCTTGTCGACATTGGAGTCACGATTTAGTACGATCTGTTCTCGTAAGCAATCTCAGCCATCTCATTGAACATAAATAAAGAATTTTCAGCTATACAAATTGTTGTTTATTTTTTGGTGTGTCGCGAAAATTTTTAGATTTTCCCCTTGTGTCGATTCCCAATAAACCTTGAGAATCACTGCTCTACTGTCTGTTCATAAGTCAGTGGTCGTTAGGTTTGATGCAGTGATCGAATGAGTTTAAAAATTGAAGTTTTTTTTCAGTGAACTTAAGATATTTCGGTTTCTTTCAAATTCAGCGCAGTTTCAGTAGTTTGCGGTTGTTTTATTTTTGATGTTCGATTGCGAATGTCTCAGTAATAATCACTTTATAAAGTAATGCTGAATGGAGGGTATGAGCGAAAGCACCGAAATCACGTATGTACAGCATGATGGTCATTTCATATTTCTGCATGCGTTTCTGCCTTTAAAAATCACTGTTTAGCATCTTTTGCCATAAAGGAACAATCTATACAATGACCCTTCACGTTCGTTTGGCGACAGTATCATTAGACAGCGATGAAAGGATAGTTCGCTGTTCCTTCATAGATTGTTCCCTGAATTTAACACCTTAGATTTTGGAAAAATTTTATATTGAATTGGGAGAAATGTCTGGAATGGGTGATTGCCACATTTTCTACGTACCAGGGCACGGGCGTAATCAAATCGGACTGAGTTCACTCTATGATTAATGAGTTGCTCGGAAACCTTGACTTGACTTGCTCACCAGTCATAACATGATATGGGAGGCTAAAGTTAAGTTTCTTCGGGACAAAGCAAGGAAGGCTCCTTACTTCGGCTATCA